CAATTCATGGTATAGTCTCTTTCTCGACGGCACTTATAAAACTAACAAGTACGCGATGCCACTATTGAATGTGATAATTCTTAATGAACACTATTTTACCAGTAGCGCAAATATGGCTACCAGGTGAAAGCGAGCCGGATTTTTTTGTGGGCTTTTGGCAAATTGAAATCTCTTCTAGACAAAAAATCGATTTCAATGCCTACGATAATTGTTACAGATAGAGACTTGACATGTACAAATGCTACGGAGAAAGTCTTTCCGTCCTCGAAGAAATTGCTGTGTCGATGGCACATTCGCCGAAACGTTCTGGCTCAAGCTCATAGGAAAATTGTCGTAGCACAAGTAACTGGAGCCTCCTCCCTGGTGATGAAAATATGAAGGAATTGGAAGTTGACACGTTCATGGCTAAATATGATGAAACAATTAACGCTGCTACAGAGCGTGAGTTCAATGAGAAGTGTTTGGCATTAAAAGTCCTTAACAGTGACATGGACGCCTAATTAAGCCGACATTGGTGGCCATAGAAGACCAAATTTTTTCGCTGTTGGATAGATTTATTTTGTCATTTCAGGTGTGTGGATACTTCTACTGTGGAAGGTACTCATGCCCAGATGAAGTCCTTTCTAGATAACGCACGGGGTGATTTAGGGACCGTCTTTCAGTAGCTTATTCCCTGGTGGTCTAGAGCGGCTACAAATAACAGTGCGCAAGCTGCAAAAGAGGTGTCCACAATCACACAATTATTTCGCGACGATTTATATTCTGCCGTCGTGAAAAATATTTCCGTGCACGCCCTGAAGGAAACTTACAAGTTGTGGAAAATGGCACGTAAAGTGGTAGTGCAAGGTACTAGACCAAACGACTGTACCGGTACAGAGCGCTGTACTCAAGGTCGACCGTGTCTTCACGATATCGTGAAAATTATCGAATCTAGGGTGTATTAAAGCTCTTACCAGAGCAGTTCGACAGACACTGGCACCTGTGCGTGGTTACCGACCGAGTGGTTGAGCCTGTTCCAAGGACTAAACGACAACGAACATGTGAACAGCCACGGCCTCACCAAGCTGGATACGGCGTTAGTGGTACACGACGCGATCCATCAGGGTTTGAATTGTCAGGACAAACTGAATTGATGACTGACCCAAACGCTAG